TTAAAGAAAGAGATTATTCCTCAGCCTAATCTGAACGCTGATTCCATTCAGACTGTTGATACACAGCTACAACAAAAAAGATAGGGCTTTCTTAAACCACATATATACAAAAAAAGGACTAACTTAAATTTTAAAGTCTTCTTTACAGATTGCCTTTTACAAAATACAAAATATGGGAAATTACAGTTAGTCTACAACTATGTTAGTTCTAGAATCATAGCCACTCATAGCAGAAATGCATCTCACTGGTGATCACTGAAGCTACCAGTATCTTATTCCTATAGACACAGGATGGGATTCTGCTCATCAGCTTTAACTGTCAAGGTAGGCATGTTCTGTAGGGTGTCTCTCTAGGCTCTCTGTACAGTAAATGGCAGCACCTCTAAAGTGCATTCTTCACATCTAGTAATGTCTTCTAATATATAGTCTTCTAACATCTATTAGTAGGTGGAAAGAATTCCTCAGGGACATCTCTCTCTTCATTTACAGTAGAGGGAATCACGTCTCAGCTGAGAGCAGATGCTCACCTTTTAAATTTTTAGAACTGAGTGTGGCAGATGCTATCCATGACAGCTTTCATCCCTTGAAAGGATGAAATGTGGGATGGGACGGTACTAGGCTGTTTGCAGAGATAATGGCTCTGTCTACATTAGTGTTTTAGTTCACAGTGGGACTATATTTTTCCTTCAAATCAGCCTCATCTACTATGCTGTGATTCACATTGTAGAGCAGCCTTAGGGTGTACAAAGTGGGTATCTTTCTGATGAAGTTAAATGGAGGATACACTCCCAGACAGCACCTAAACCACTATTTATAGCTAGTCCAAAATAGCCCCCCCCGCCCGTGTACAGTGAGAATGTCAGGTCCTCAGCACCAACTGTTTTGCTCTACAGAACCATTCCCATTTAGCTGCACTGCTTGCCAACATATACAAGGACAGCTGAATCAAATCAACTCCATGTTCCAAACTTGCCTGTGAAAAATACAATGTAAGTATGATGGAGATTTTGAACTGACAGAAAAAAATAACAGAACTGTAGACCATGGAATAAAGGTTGTAGACATGCTGTTCTGGTTGCAGCTGAGTAAAATGAAGGGGCTGCTGATCCCAAATGCTCTCAGCTTTCTTTTACTGCTCCTACGCCAAAGGTTGCCACCCCCTCAGTTAGCGTAACTTAAAAGGGTATTTGTTCCCTCGCCATGTTTTTTTCATAATAGGTCAGGTTGATTTAAACACTGTAATAGTGAGGTCTGAATTGTGTTGCCACCCATCAACATAAAAATTCTTCAGTAAACAATCTCACCCCTCAAAACCATGTAAGATTAGCTTAAAAACACATAAGATCTTTAAAAACCGTATTTTTATTTACCTGCTGGGTTTTGCGCCTTTGTAATTCATGCTGGCAGGTTTCTGGACAGCAGTGGTCCTGAGAAAATACCCGTTTTCTCAAATTAAAGCTGAGATTTCCAAGTAATCACTGGCTCAAGTAGCCAAAGTTTAAGCAAGCCACTCAGTTTAGTGTGACTTCACAGGCAAATCACAAAAATCACAAAACCCAAAAGTTTGGCCATTCTCCTGAATTAAATCCATGTGCCCCAGTCCTGTTAAACCTGTCATCTGGGGAACTTCTCATGTGAGTATTACAAAAACGTGAAGAAGAAAGTCTGTTTGGTGCGGTCTGTTGGAATACTGGTATGCCAGGCCATTTTATGAGACTGGGCTGAGACTGTTAAGTCTCTGAAGCCAAAGCCTAAGGCAGTTCTTGTTGCATGCTGTAACTTTTTTGGAGTGTTTTGGCTAATCACTGCAGTAGTCTTACTACTCTTGATTTTCTATTAAGAACTATAAGACATGGATCAAAGCTGGCTGGTTGTTTAGGTAATAATATTTAAAAAGACTATCTGGTTTTAATAATTATTAAAAAAGGACAAAGGCATACTGGGAATTACTTTTGATATTTCTAAATTGTGCCACTGTTGCATTTTTAAACATTTCAGCAAAACTGATACAATACAGGAATGGTGTTTATACAGACTCTTAAATTTCTGTTAAACAACTGTGCTGTGTCTTAAATGACAAGAAATTTTATCTAGCACATGCCAAAGGCATGCTGAAGATTTTTCCAACAGCTCTGATTCATCTCCTTGAATTCATTTTTTCTTAGAGATACAGTACAGACAATAATTTTATTAACAACCAGCTGTTTTAATATTCATTGCAATAAAGAGATTATTCTTCTAGAACCCTCAGCACAACTGGTTCTGCATTGTAGAGCCAAACAAGACTGATTACTGCTAGAATTAATGAGTCTTTCTATACCCATATGCCATATACACTATAATTCATCTGCAGTTTAATCACCAACTAAAAATTTAGAACTGACTGCGGGGAGACAGGACTCAATTAAGTGATTCCTTGCAAGCCGGTATTCCTTTGTGTCCAACCCTTACACAGGAACTTGGATCACAAGAAGCTTGCACAAACACACACACACACACGTTTTGTGCAGCCAGCCAGCAGCCCTTGCGAACAGGACAAGTGCCCAGCGGAGGGAAGGCAGGCTGTACTCTTCTCCCAGTACATCTCACATGGGACAGAGCTGAGCAAAGCCTCAAGCCCTTTGTGGCTCTTTCTGGTGTCACTATGGTGCCAAAGGAATGATTACTTCAAGCTACTTTCCTTAGCAAGGTATATTTCACCTTTAAAACTCCCACAGGGCACTTTCTCTGTGAAATTACTACTGTGAAATAAATCCACTACATTTTTATAAACGGTTGATTCACTGGACAAGTTAAGTCTTGTGGTCTGAGGGATAGAAATTCTGTCTGCACCACTGACAGAAAAGCCTCACAGAAGTGGTTGCGAGTTTTTCTAGTAGGAGTAGGAGAAGGCGTGGGTCTTATGGTACCATTCAGGAAAACGTTTGCCCTGATTTTGCCTTCTTATCTGTAGATATCAAAGTGTTCTACCAAATGAAACAGCTATATTATCATCATTTCATATATAGGAAGTTGGAGCACAGAAAGGTAACACAGCTTTCCTGAAGGCTGATGATAATTTGGTGGGAGAGCTGCAAAGAGAACCCCCATTTATGGACTCCCACTTCTGTGCCCTATCCACAGAAACGTGCTGCCTCCCAGTGCTGTCTAGATATACCAGGCATCTGTGGAGCTGTATTTTTAGCCCTGATATTCTCTTTGGCTGGAACTGGGCCATGAAGATTCACAGTAAGCTACGGACTGTAAATATCCCTTAGACTTTATGGGAGGAAAACTGGCATAATATCAAAGCAGAACAAGCACTTTCTTAAATTTCAGTTTTGTTAACTGCTGTCATACTTGAAAGATTTCCCTGCAAAATAAGAAAGAACCAACCAGCTGCAGCATGTTGTAAACAAGCAAAAATTAGAAAGAAGAATTCCTGCAGACTTTATCATGTTATGGCAACAAAATCAGTTTTTAAGAACTACAAATCATGGAGGTTTCAGGGCTTTTTCAGACTTAATGACATATGCTGGTCATTAAGCCATCAACAAAAAATCTTTTCATCTCCCAGTAATACTGTAAATATTTGTTTTCTCCCAACCCACTTTGTTATAGGAGAAGACCAAATATCCCCATGCATTTCAGATGCATAGGCCTTTCTCAAAATTACATTACCGCTAAAATATTAAGGCTCCATAGTTGGATAAAAATTCTTTTAAAAATGCAAAATCTCTTTTTGTCATGTTTTTTGGAGTATCTTTTGACCTATGTTGATCCATAGCAGACATGCTTATTTTAAGGTATCATAAAATTCTGTAGAGCTGAGGTCTTGTGGAAGGGTGAAAAGAAATATCTTACAGACAACAAAGATCAAGCAGGACATACGCACACATCATCTTGTGTGTGTCATGACAGCACTAGTCCTCAAAAATATGAGGATTAGTTGTCTCCAGCAAGCACTTAATTCCATTAAACAAGTAGTTCTGAGAAAAGGTGAGAAAAAATACAGAGTTCTGCTACATTCTGAGTGATTTCCGACTGAAGTGCCAGGGAAAATCAGAATGGTGCATGCTCTTTGGTGAGACATAGTATGGGTTCTGCAGGCATACTTTTGCAATAAAGAATTGGACTGTTTTTACAGAAACATTTTATAGGGTTGCAAGGTACAGCAGTTGTTTTGCTTGTAAACTAATGACTCCCTGTCCCTCAATGTGCTGTTTTTAAGTGGAAGAATTTTTCCCAGTAAGTTAGTGCTCTAAATTAGTTTTTCTGAGACACTAGGCCAGTGTGATTAGCATTCACTTTGCACAGGAAAGAGCTTGGATAGCTTCTACATTCATTCTGCTTTTCTCTTCACTCCAGACACTATTCCTTCCGCTCAACAGTCATTCCCCTGGATACCATTCGTTTCCGATTAACACAGGAGAATTTCCCCAAACTATGGCTTGCAGGCAGTATGTTTCCCATGAAATCCTCCCACATTATTTGCAGCCAAAGGAAATTAAAACATTGAAACTTACCAATAGGGAAAGCTAAAATTGATATTGCCTTCAGTGTGTTACTTTCTCAGTCTTGTTGCCAGATGATGAGAGGCCACTACCCTAACAATTAGTTTGTGTTTCTTATAGAAAGAACAACTTGGTTAATAACTTGAAAAACTCAAGCCAGTGTAAAGACTCCCAAAAAGTTCCAGGGCTTCCAGATGAAAAATACAAGCATTCTGCTAACTCTCAGCTATGGGGTCTCTATGGGTCTTAACCTGGGCAGCATGTAAAAATGCTGCCAGTGCTGAGAACAATTTTTGCTGCAACATGTTATTAATACTTAATGCCTGTGCATTTTGCCGCTGCAACCAGAGGAGGGTAATTAAATTGTTACTTTAATGTAGAGAATATGCTGACTTTTCTTTCCAGCTGTTAAATCAATGGGCAGGGAAGACAATGTTAAACCACAGGGTGGTTTTGGACCACCCATTGTAACAGCAGTGTCGCCTTTTCTTTTTTATTTTCTTGCAGAATGAGGTGGCAATGCTTCTCAAGCCAATATCAGAGAAGATTCAGGAAATCCAGAACTTCAGAGAAAGGAACAGAGGAAGTAAAATGTTCAACCACCTCTCAGCCGTCAGTGAAAGCATACCTGCCCTTGGGTGGATAGCAGTGGTGAGTGACACCAGGATTGTTGGGAGGGCTGTAAATGTGCTTCTGGATGGTGTGGCCCAGAATAGTTCCAAATCTTGCAGAACTCTGCAGTCTTATCTGCATAGTTCTTCAGTCTACTACACCCAAGAAGGTGTTTTGTAATATACCTAATACATCAGGGAAGGTGTCTGACTAATGTTTTACTTTCTTTCTCCTTCTGTTGTTTCCTGCGCTACCATGGGTTGATGGTCCTAGTCTCCTAAACCAGGCCCTTATGTCAAGGAGATGAATGATGCTGCTACCTTTTATACTAACAGGGTATTAAAGGACTACAAGCACAGGTATGTTGCCAAGCCTCAGTATCTACTAGCCAGAGAACAGCGCGTTAACCATACCAATAGGATTCACAATGCCATCACAGAAAGCATTCTGTAAACTAAAAAGCATTTGATAAATTGCTTGCAGTAGTATATTTTCCGCTCCTCATCTTTGACATGCAGCATGTTGCAGTAAGAATGGCAGCGAGCACTAGCAGTGCTGGTTTTCACTCTCTGCAAATTATAGGATTATATTTAATTTTCTGGCATTCCAGCATCATGAGCTTATATGCAAATGCATATTTACATATCAACGTGTGGCTAGCTAGCTGCTACGTGTCCTTGTCTCATTTGTGCACTCATACTGTTGCTGTTCTTGCTCTTCGCTTGAAAATGTGCATTTAGGTGGTAGACGTATACAACTGAGCATCTAATTCCATAACTCCCAATTTGATTTTTTCTGTACCACTGCATTGTTCTTAAAGAGCACAAGGAATTCACAAAAAAGTTCCATGAATGAGATCTGTGAGCTGACAGAGAAAGAGAAAACATACAGGTCCTTCCTATGACCTCTTTAAAAAGTCATGTATAAATCCTGTTGATTTGGTACTTTCGGAGGCCAGATTTTGGCTCTTGATTTTTATATCCCAGTTAAGAACAGTATTTGCTATTGAGTTTTTCCTCTTCTGTGAAGAAAACTTTATATATATAAAAATCTTTTGTGTATATTTCTATTTATTGTATATGTATAAATATATATTACAT